TATGAATTTCTTCAGGTTTTTTTTTTTTTTTTTTGCGGAACTGGGGATTGAACTCAGACCCTTGTGCTTGCCAGGGAAGCACTTATCCTACTGAGCCATCTCCCCAGCCCCCCCCCCAGGTTCAATCTTTTCAGTCCTCAGTACTATGAAGAGACAGAGAAAGAGGTAGTTATAATTCGAAAACTTTTTTTTTTCAGTTTTATGAGACAGGTTCTTAGTATATAGTTCAGACAGAAACGTTTTGTTTGATATTGAAGTATATGTAGTTGTTTTGTACTTTCTTAGACCTTAACTTCCTTGTTCTTTTCTGACGTCTCCTTTCTTTCACAATGATGAAAATATTGTTTGTGTTTGATACTTGCTTTTATTAATACTTACATTTATTTGTTTTAGAAGTTCATCAAATGATATCAAGAATAATCTGATATTTATTAAAATGACTTCTTTTATTTATTTATATACTTGTATTGGGGATTGAACTCAGGACCTTGTACTTACCAGGCAGGCACTTACGCCACTGAGCTATCTCTCCCCAGCCCTTTAAAAATGACCTTTTTAGGGGCTGGGGAGATGGCTCAGTGGAATAAGCACTTCCGTTGCAAGCGCAAGGGCCTGAGTTCAATCCCTGGTTCCACAAAAAAAAAAAAAAAAAAAAAAATGACCTTTTTCAACTGGGGGTGGTATCACACCTGTAATCCAAGTATAAAGGGGGGCTGAGGCAGAAAGTTTGCCAGTTTGAGCCCATTCTTAGCAATTTAAAAATACTCTCTCAAAAATTGTTTCTAAGAGCTAGGTATGATGATATATACCTATAATCCTAACACTTGGGAGGCTGAGGCAGGAGGATCACCAAAAGTTTGAGACCAGCCTGGACTCTTAAGAGTGTGAGCCTGGGCCGGGGAGATGGCTCAGTAGAATAAGCGCTTGGCTGGCAAGTGCAAGGACATGAGTTCAATCCCCGGTTCCGCCAAACAAAATTAAAAAAAAAAAAAAAAGTTTCTGCAGACAAAGAGTGTGAGCCTGTCTCAACAAACAAACAAAAAATGTTTTAAAAGGCTGGGGATATAGCTCAGTGTGAAGGCTTAGAGTTCAATTCCCATTATATGCCTCCCCAAAAGTCTAGGGATATGGCTCAGTGGTAAAGTCCCCCAAAAGAAGCCCTCTTTAAATTCTCCATCTTTAACTTTTTTTTTCCTTATACACTCTCACACTGAGATGATAACCCCTTGTTGCTTCCCTCTGGATTGTGTGAAGAACTGTATTGTACTGTTACCTGAGAATGCTTGACAGTGCTCTGTGTCAGCTGGAGCCGCATAAATGCGGTATCATAACCCTCCTACTGGGGCCACAATACTTAATACTTCAGATTACAGTGTTCCTCTTTATTGCAAAGGCACGGTGATACAGAATCATTTTGAATTGTCTTTTTTTGTTTTTTTTTGTGTTGAGATTTCACCTTTTTAATCAGTTCTGAAGGACATTCCAAACACGAGACACGAAAGAATATTTTTTCTTCCAGTATATAAAAAGAATGACATTCACAAACATTTTCAAGAAGCTCTTACACTCATGATGGTAGATATTTAATAAAAAAAAAAAACCTCTAGGCAATCATATTCTTGATGCAGACTGCTTACAGGTACATTCAAAAATTTTTCTACTCATGATTAAGTGCATACATATTTTAAAAATAACCCCAGACACATGATTTAAAAGAAAAACATCAGTTTGGCACAACTTTTTTTGTATGCCAGAAGCAATGATCCTAAGAGTCCAACTAAAAACTTTCATAAGGAAAAACCTCCATAACTCTACAAATGTCTCAGAAATTTGACTTTAAATGGGGGAAATTAAAATAACACAGAGCTTTCTAAAAAGTCTTTAACAAGATACCTTGGGAGCTCAATTAAAAAATAGTAAATATACTAATCAAGTTTCAGCACGGCTTCAAAAATCTTTATATGGCGATTTGGAAGGATGATCCTGGATGAGAAGTGTTATTCCTTGTGTATGTCATGTCTACAAGCCTCTCTGTTGTCATAATTGTCTCTGTAATTCCCTCCCGAGTATCGATCATAGCCTCCCTGGCTTCTGCCACTATAGTCTCTGGATCGCCCGTAACCATATCCATATCCTCCAGGTCGACTGTCATACGTGCCACTCCCATAGCCTTGGTCCCCACCACCTCTAGAGTAGCTGCGACCACGTCCATGGGCCCCAAAAGCACCTCCTCCTCTGGTGCCCCGGGCAGATTTGCCTGCATGGTCCACATGGATCTGGCGACCATCCAGGGACTCTCCATTCGTGGCTCTGATGGCATCTGAGGCATGCTCTGGATTGGTAAAGGTGATGAAGCCAGAACCCCGGGATCGCTAAGTTTCCCGGTCCTTGGCAACCACCACCTCAGAAATAGGGCCAAAGCTGCTGAAGTGGTCTTCCAGTGCCTGCTCGTCTGTATTGAAATTGAGCCCACCGACGAAGAGCTTTCCTTCTTCAGAAGACATGGCAGCGAATTCAAATCCTGGAGATTAGAAAGTAATAAGGAACCACGGAGGGCAAGCGCTGAAGAACAAGGAGAACTTGAATTGTCTTTTAGAGTTGGAAGCCTAGGTGCCTGAGGCTGTGTTTCCCTTTCTCTTTGTAAAATGTAACTGTCTGTGAGGAGTTTGCAGAGATTAGATATTAAGGCTTAGTGATACATGGGGTCTAGAAAAAGCAGAACTCGATAGAAGGAAAAGATAGGTTAGTGGGTAGTTGGATCGAAGTATACATCATTAGGTGTGTAAGTCACGTGTATTCAGTTGACCACACATATCCTTCATCCGGCTTCCACATTTAGAAGCTTTTTCCTTAGTGACTTGAAAACTTTATTAGCCAGTCACATGCCTGTAATCCCAGCATTGGAAGGCTGAGGTAGGAGGATCATCATGCATTTGATGCTGGTATGTCCTGCATAGTGAGTTCAAGGCCAGCCTGAAGTATATAGTATTTTGTTTTGTCTCAGAACAAAAACTTCACTGCCTGGGAAAATCAGGAGATGTTAGTGTCTCAAATCTAAAGCTGAGTGTAGGTAGGTGAAGTAGTGTCTTTAGCAAACACCAGTTTAGTTCCCGGTAATGCGTTTGGGGATCTCATGAGATGAAGCACTTGGGAAGGAAGAGGTTGAAAATGCAGTTCCTTCTCCCCACCTTTGCATCATTGATTTAGGCCTCATCCCTCTGGGGCAATAGCTTCCACCAGGTGACGCCACAGCCAGCTTCTACCAGAACGTTCATCACACGCAAATATTTTTGATGTATTAGTCCTTCCTTACAAACAGGTTGAATATCCTTTGTCTGAAATACTTGGGCCCAGAAGTTCTTGATTTCAGAGTTTTTCAGGGATTAGGTTTGTTTTTTAATGTATTTTTGTTTTTAATGTCTTTAGTACAGGGTCTACAGCGTCTCACTACACGGTTCTGACTCGTAGTGATCTTCCTGTTTTCAGCCTCCCAAGAGCTGGATTATAGGCGCACGCCACCATGCCCAGTCCCAATCACTGTCTGTGTGTCCCAGAGGCAGGGCTGGCACCATACCAGGGATTGAACCCCCAGTCCCTGCACCTGCCTAAGAAGACACTTTAGTCTGCTGAGCTACCTGGCTGGCCCTGGGGTTAGAATGTTTGCATAGACTACTTTATTAAAGATGTTATTGAAAAAATAAAAAATAAAAAAATAAAGAAATCAGAATTGTGGCTGGAGGCATATCTGAAAAAAAAAAAGATGTTATTGTTTGGCTTGTATGGTATGTTTTACTAAGCGTCTTGTTCATGTCTTTATTTTGGTGGTAGTTTTTGAGTTTTTTCAAACCCTGAAACTTTATGTGGATTTGTTGGTGAGTTATATCTTTTTACTTGTTTGGTTTTTTGAGACAGGGTTTCCAGGGTGGCCTTCAACTCACTATGTAGCCTAGGCTGGCCTTGAGCTAGCACTGATCATCCTGCATCAGCTGGGATTACAGGCATGTGCTACTGCACCTACCTGATTCTTCTATTTTTGACTTATTTTCTCTCTAACATTATATATGTTATTCTGAAATCTATTACAAATTTATTTTGTAGAAAGTAAAATATTGGTTTAGGTTCAGGTTTCCCTTAAATGCTATCTACTTGAAGCATTGTGAAGTACTTTTATTAACACTTTAGAGCTTTTTGTTTTTCAGAAACAAGAGTTGAAATAAAAGAATCTGTTCGTGGCCAAGATATCTTCATTATACAGACAATACCCAGGTAAGAGCACTGCTTTGTGTACCCCTTCTTCTAAAAACCTAAGTGATAAAATATCTTCACATGTGAATAGCTCAAGATTTTTTTTTTTTTTTTTTTTTTTTTTTTGTATTTTTAGGGAAGGGTCTATAGGGTGTTCAGGGTCTCACTACTAGATCGGACTCATAGTGCTCCACCTATTTACAGCCTCCCAGGAGCTGGGATTACAGGCACACACCACCACGCCCAGTCTCAGTTTCTATCTCAGCTTGCCCCGGGGGTGGGGCCTGCGCTGGCACAGCAGGCCTGGGGATCAAACCCTGGCACCTGTGCCTGCTTGCAGGTACTTTAATCCGCTGAGCTATCTGGCCGGCCCTAGTTCAACATTTTTTAAATTACACATATAAACCTTTAATTTAGTCTATGCTAAACCACTTTCTGAAGTATAGTTCTAGTTTCTGGAATTTCGATCGTGTTTGCCACATTCTATTGTTACTGTTTTACTTGACCATCTTTCTAGACTTTCAGTGCCTCTAAGGCAAAATATTTTACTTTTGCATCTGCTGAACCTAAACCAGTGTCTGCCAGTTAGCTCTGCTGAAAAGTTTGTATTGGTAAGCATACTACCTAGCTGCTCCTCGTTCACACCCATGATGACAGTGTTTGTTTTTGGCGATGCTGAGATTGAATTTAGAGCCTTCTCACTGAGTTACATCCCTAGATTTTTGGGTGTTGTTGTTGTTGTGTTTTTTTGGTTTTTTTTTTTTGGTGACAAGTTGTCACTAAGTTACTGAGTCACCTAGTCACCTAGGCTGGGCTTAAATTTATAAGTACCTAGCCTCTCAAGGTACTGGGATTGCAGGTATGTGCCCTGTAAGACAGTTTTGCTCAGCATTTTATTTTGCACATTTTAAAATTTTCTAGTCCTCTCTTGGAGATAGCATCATAGCTCTTCTGTTATTCTCAGTGCAGAGCTGGAGGGCTGACCCTGGAGGGATCCTGGCCTCTCTGAGAATACAGTTTCAATGTAAGATTAGCTTTGTCTTCCTTACCATCACCTCAGAGGGGGGTGGAATGGTTAGGCCATTAGTCTCAGGACATTCTGATCTTCATGTCTTGATCAGTTTGTATGTCCTGGATGGGCATCATGGCATGTGCTCGTAATCCAAACACTCAGGAGGCCGAGGCAGGAGGATCACTGTGCGTTGAGGTCAACCTGGGTTACAAGGTCACTTCTTGGTCAGCATGACATATGTAGTGAAACCTTGTCTGAAAAAAAAAAAAAAATTGGATTCTTGCATCCAGGAATAAGAATTGCACTGAGTGTGCCAGGCACTTTGTATGTGTCATTTGAATCCTTACATCCTATATGACAGCTTTTCTTGTTCCCATTGAGGACACTGAGAGGGCTGGGTCTGAAGGAGATGAGGACCGTGGGTCCTGATGTGAGTAATATATTTACAGGTATAACAAAATCTCCTACAGTGTTATACATAGGTAGTATATTAATACTTTCCTCTGGTTGTAGCAATGTGATGTTCATATAAAAATTAGGCTTATTGGTGTATAAATAGCTACCTCATCTTTTAAAGATTCTTAGATTGAAACAATTAGAAACTTACAGTAAACTTGTATATATGACCCATAATGCAGCACGTATGATGACATA